CCGTCGACTTTATGAAGAGATACGTGACGGTTTGCTAAGTTTGCCGTCCAGTTTTATGAACAGATACTGACAGTTTGCCAAGTTTTCCGTCGAGTTTATGAAGAGATACGTGATAGTTTGCTAAGTTTGCCGTCGAGTTTATGAAGAGATACGTGACAGTTTGCTAAGTTTGCCGTCGAGTTTATGAAGAGATACGTGACGGTTTGCTAAATTTGCAGACTAGTTTATGGCAATATTTGCGTCATTGTTCGGTTATTGTGTATTCAATTCGTGGTGATCTGTTTCGTTGTTGTTTTTTTCAGTGAATTAGGTTGTCATGCTGTTAGATTTAGAAGATAATGACGAATGATATATTCTTTTTGTAAATGTAAGTTGATGTAAGTTTTGTGTTTCTTATTTTCTTTGTTTTATCATTATTATCCATCCACCTACCTCTACTTTTTGTTTGTCTCTTTTTATCACACATTTCCTTTCGTCTACTTAAAATCTAACGTAACCCTCACCCCCTAAAAAAATAATTAAAAATAAAATCACGAAATAACCTGCCAAACGGAACACCCACTACCTTATGCCTATCGTACAGAGGATCAGGCCCCAACGCCAGTGCTTGGGGCGCCTCCAACTCCTCCAGGACGTCCCACAGCCCTTCTGCAGGAGCGAGGAACAGGATATCGGTGTCCACGTACACGGCCGAGTCCACGAAGGGCAGAGACTCCAGCAGAAACAGCTTGGACCAAGAACACGGCCGCCATCTTTGTAACAGCAGAGGGTCTGACTGCGAAGACGGCGTCCATAGCTCCGCCCTCTCGAGGTGGAGGCGGGACCGGTACCTGCGAGGGAAGGGAGAGGGAGGAGGCGGTAATAAAGAGGGGAGGAGAGGGACGAGAAGGAATGGGGAGGATTTGTGATGGTGGTGGGGTGGGTGGTGGTGTGGTGGTGGTGGTGGGTGGTGGTGGTGGGGTGGTGGTGGTGGTGGTGGTGGTGGTGGTGGCTGTGGTGATGGTGGTGAGATGGCGGTGGTGATGGGTGGTGGAGATGTGGTGGTGGTGGTGGTGGGTTGGTGGTGGAGATGGGTGGTGATGGTGTGGTGGTGGTGGTGGTGGAGATGGTGATGATCATGTTGATGGTGATGATGATGGTGTTAGTGGTAAAGATAATGATGATGATAACAGCAACAACAACAACAACAGCTGCAGCAATAATGACGATGATGATGATAATAATAATAATAATGATAATAATGATAATAATAATAATAATAATAATAATAATAATAATAATAATAACAATAATAATAGTAATAATAATGCTATGAATAATCATATTAATAACAATGCCATTAATAATCATAATAATAATAATGAAATCAATAATAAAATTAACAATAATAATGACTATAATCTTCATTAATAATGATGATGGTGTTGGTGGTGGTGACAGAAACAACAAAAAATAATAACAATAACATGATAATGATAAGGAAGATGAAGATGATAATGATGTAATAACAATAATATAATAATTATATTATTAATAATAATAACAATAACAATAATAATGATAGTAATAATAATAGTAACAATAATAATAATAATAATGAAAAAACAATAAGATAATACTGATGATGATTATGATGATAATGATGATAATAATAATAATAATTATAATAACAATAATGATGATGATAATAATGATAATGATGATGATATTGTTGGTTATAATAATAATAAAAAAAAATAATAATAATAATAATAATAATAATAATAATAATAATAATAATGATAATAATAACAATAATTATAATAATGATAATAACGGAAATGATAATAACAGTGATGACATTTGTAATAACAATAACAATAACCATAATGATAATAATAATAAATAATGATAGTGATCTTTACTATTACCATTAGAATAATTATCATCATAATTTCTATTATCAATACCATTATCATTATTATTATTACTATTATCATTATTATTATCAATATTATCATTATTATTATTACTGTTATCATTATTACTCATTTTATTATTTACTATTATCATTATCAATATTATCATTATAATCATTATTTTTGCTATAATTACAATTATTGTTAGTTACAATGATTATTATTATTACTATTTTCATCCTCATTATTATCACCATTAGCGCAACCATTATTACTATTACAATTGTTATCACTATTATAATTATTATCAGTATAATCATCATTATTGTTATCATTATTACAATTATGATTAGTTACAATTATAATCATTATTACTATTTTCATCATCATCATTATCATTATTACCACAATCTTTACTATCACTATTACTGTTGTTATTACTATTATAATTATTGTCATCATTATCAATATCATTGCCGTTATATAATTATATTATTATATCATCATTATCATTGTTATATCATAATTATCATCATTATCATTAGTATTACTATTATCATAATGGGGATGTGTTCATTATCATTAGTAGTACTATTAGTAGT